CCGACAACGCAACAGCCAGAGCCTCTAACGGAGCATGGAGGTTCACAAAGTGCTGCACCTGCCACGAATTCTGCACGTCCAGAAACAAGTGCATACTCATGCATACTCTAATCGCAATGGAGGGACGACAACGCAACAGCCAGAGCCTCTAACGGAGCATGGAGGTTCACAAAGCGCTGCGCCTGCCACGAGTTCTGCACATGGAGGTTCACAAAGTGCTGCTATTGAGACTCTTACTGCGTGATGTGTGGTCTCTGTACGTGTTGTCTCGGTGTGGAGGGAGGATGATCTCTGTGTGTGTGTTGTCTCGGTGTGCATGATCTCTGTGTGTGTGATGTGTGTTGTCTCGGTATGTGTGATCTCTGTGTGTGTGATCTCTGTGTGTGTGATCTGTGTGTGTTGTCTCTGTGTGTGTGTTGTCTCGGTGTGTGTGATCTCTGTGTGTGTGATCTCTGTGCGTGTTGTCTCTGTATGTGTTGTCTCGGTGTGGAGGGAGGGGGCGGGAGGCGGCGGGACGCACCGGGAGGCGGATGAGACATAGAAAAGAAGAACCCCACACTAATATGTGGGGAAAAAGGATGAGAGGACGAGACACAAAGGCAGGAAAGACATGAGAATAAAGAGGAAAAAAGAAGGTGCGCAAGGGGAAAAAGGTGAAAGCGGGAACCACATGAAGGGCCAGACCCGGGTCTTGAGTGAACTACGGCCGCTGCGGCCTACTCTGGGCATTCATTCAGCCTGCTCTGGTCCGCTGTGGACTACTATTGGCACGCCAAAGTGCTCCATCAAAATCGTCAGCTCAATCAACGTTTGGCGTAAGCCTCCGAACCCCCGCTCGACGAGGCCACGGAGGGCACTCTTCGGGCTCATCACTCCAGGCCCGCACCGGACACACTCGGGACAATTCGTACGGAACAGAAAGCCACCCGCTCCACAGCGACATAGGTAACCATATTCAGGAGGGAATCATGTAAGGGGGGTCCGAGCATCCTGGTGGTCCAGACTAAAGGGTCGATGATCGCGAGGCGAGAGGATGACAACGAACGCTCAAATCTGCCGACCTGAGAGCGACCTAAACAGCCTTGTTGGCTAGAGGAGACGGTGGTCACTCAACATCACAACCAGGTTAAAGCGCAGGTACAAGAGTTGGCGCCCCGTTGGCACAGATAGTAGGAAATCAGTGCCCTGCCCCCTGCTAATAAACCCGTACGGTTCCCTGTGATCTCAAGGATTTCACATTTAGTCATTGGGTTTTCAGTTAACTCTGTTCCACGAGGAAAAGGATGAGGGAAACGAAAGGTGAAGCGGTCAGCTCAACTGAAGTGTTAAACAATCTGTTCACTTGTCTGCAGAACGCGGCTGAACGACGGCTGCTGAAAGCTGCTGGAGGAAACCTGTTTTGGAGTAGCGTGCAAAACCACCATGAGAAGCAAAGAACAGCGGAGGGGGTCAACAGTTGAAATCGCAGGTACAGGAAACTGGCCATAGGATAAGAGTGTCACACGCCCCTGCGTGGAACAATGCCGGATCTCAAAGGAAGGATTAAACCACTTGGGACGGGGTCTGACACACACGAGCGGCCGAAACGGCGCAGTCAGTCCAGTGGAAGGTCGGCTGCGGACAGCGCAAAGCGTGCTTTTTCTGCTCTTCAAAAACCGTTTGCAGTCGATTGCTGCATGTCCTTTGTGGATGTAGAGTTTGACAAGGTAGTCGTCGGCCGCAGCGTCTGCAGCGGTTGGTGGAAAGGTGTATTTGTACATGGTGTGGAGGCGGGATGCCAATCCTGAAAGGGTCAGTCTTTTGCTGCCTGCTGATGTGGGATCCCGGATTTTCCAGGATTGTGTGGGTTGCATATAGGTGATGGTGCGGTTTGTGAGTTCAATGTTGAAGCCCAGGAGATGGTTGTCCTCGACGGCTTCAAGCTCGATGGGGTCGCCAAAGAAGTCATGGCGGATCAGTGTTAGTATTGCTGGGTGAGTGAGGAAGTGCTCATTATGGATGATGAAGCGGTTGTCAACGTAGCGGTAGTAGTTGAAATGAATGTCAGTGTGGTGAAGTAGGTTGTTGTGCAACTGTTGCCATGCGTGTTCAATGAGGGCGCCGGTCACGTTGCAAAGGGCGGGCGACAATTGACAGCCTATCCCAGCGCCGCGAGTCTGTTTGTATTGTATGTATGGTTGCATGCTCGGAAAATGCAGGTATCCAGGGCGAAGGCCACAATGGTAGGGATGTCGGCTGCGTGGAGTGTGCGCTGAGTGGGACGGTGATGATGTCGGCCAACATGGGCGTGATGGTAGGGATTGTCAGTGGCGTGGATGCCGATGGTGATAGTATGGGTGGTCTGTTGCTGTTGCCACTGTTGGGTAAGGCTGAGGACCGCGTCAATGAGTCTGTGTTGCGGCACGGAATTGAAGAACCCGACGAGGTCGTCGTTGGTGGCATAAAGTGTGATATCTGGGGGTGTGTTGTTGAGGTAGGCGCGGAAGTGGTGCCAAAGTTGTGGGATGGAAAGTTGTCCTGGGTGTTGTGGGTAGAGGTGCTGGAGTATGATATCTAAGCCTCGGCCCGTAACGCGCAAGAGGTTGCCAGCCGGGGAGTGGTAGTTGGAGATGATAGTTCGGCCTTTGCGCGCCATTGTTTCTTCCCTTTGAGATGGACGATGCCATAGGGAATCGTGAAATCTTTGCGGAAGCCCCATTTGTAGCGGGTCTCTTCTTTTCAAAACGGGTGCAAATGCCATTCAACTCAGCGCCAGGGCGTCAGCCCATTCTTGTTATGTATAGCGTCGCAAACAAAGAAAACCAAATGAGTTGTGTCGAAAACCTGGCTGCAGGACGGTTCTAATGGGTGTTTCGCTAGTGCTTTCCCGCCACTTTCGCGACCTCTGCTCTTGGTTCTGCAGGTTTCATTTCAACATGTGTACTTTCACGCCACTTTTGCAGCGGAACCTCCATTCTTCAACATGGATGCTGCATGTGATTAATGGAAAAAACATGCATGCCTACGCCACAAAGGTTCTCACAACTACTGTCGCAACAACAGATCCAAATGTCACTTTTGTGAAGCTTTCTCAAGATTTTCGTTTGGTTGCTTACTTTCGCGGGCCATTACGCACATGAACCTCATCTCTTCACACCCCTGTTCCATCAATCCTTCATCTTTTCAAGCACCAAACCTTGAAGAAAGGTATTTTTTGTGATGGGCAGGAAAGTATGTTCCCTCCAATCCCCAAAAAAAGGGGCCTATCCTCCGCGTGGGAGTTCATGTGCACAAACACTCCGCTGCGTGCCTGCAGCACGCCATTTTGGAAATACCACGCGGCAGTTCCAGAGGCGGCCAAGCCCCAACCTGGGTCTCGTCCTGGCAGGATGTTCAACAGCAGCCGCCAAATGTTCAAAAAGTATGTCCCACCGCCTTTCAGATACTCAAACGCAAACTCTCATAATATGCATGTCATATCTATATCTATATCTATCTATATATATATATTCTGCTGTTCTTTCAGCCTTTCAGCTTTACTGGAGCCCTCCACACACAAAAAAAGAGTCCGATTGTTCCATGCGCGGAGCTTTCCGTCACAACTTGTTCGCAAGTGAAGTAAGTGTGGATGTCTGTTCGACTGAACGGAAGGTCTCTCCGCTACTTCACTCTATGCTTTCCTGTTGGTTTGCATTCAGCTTTGAGCTGGACCTGGCAAGTTGCTTCATCGCAAGTTGTTGCAAATGTATCGCGTGCAAAACTCACTGTGCTCGTGTCATGTTCGTTCGTTCCGCTTGATCTCCGATGGGCGTTGGGTCAGTCTTCCACGTCCAGCAGAGCCCAGCAGTCCTATAATATCCACAGAAATGATGCCAAAGGTCAGATCTGTCAAAAAAATCATCAAGATGCAGGCCTCGGCTGGTTTCAGCTCCAGCTTCAAGTTTCCAAAGCTCAATATACTATATATATATATATACATACCATCTTGTGACCACGTTGGGGTCCAAAATCATAATCAAAGGCACACTGAAATGTAAGAAACACATCTGCATCTGTTTGGCGGTCATCTACCTCCAACTGCTCGTTGCGGCACGTTGATGAACATCGCTTTCAGCCCAGGCACACTCAAGGTGGGAATCGTCCCAAGCACACCCGTCAGGAGCATGCGGAAACTTTGGAAGTGCCTCAACACCTTGAAGGATCTGAGGGAGCGCATGGCCCTGATGGCGCGGATCGCTTGCAACGCTGCTAGGCCTTCTGCACCGAAGATCAATGGAGCGATCCAGAGCAAAAAAAACGCCAAAGAGCCAAACAATCACAGTGTCCAGCAAGTTGGAGATGGAGTAAAAGTAGGACCGACCGTGTGCTGCAACACAAAGGAGCCATTCCTAAGTTTCTTTCTCACCCAGCAGCGCCATTTCACGGCCAATCATAGAACCAACTGCCTTGTTCAACTCTGATGCAACCGAGCGTCTATCAGAAAAATGGTGGTAAACGCATCCTTAGATAGTTCGAGTTCAGGGTGTGGCGGGACGGCATCTCGCCGGAACCACACGGTGGGCGACCCCAAACAGGAAGGCAAACTGCCGGTCCCTGTCACCCGACCCAGCTCTAGAGATGCTGCTTTGCAAGAAAACCGTATTCTGTGCTCGCACACGGTCCATATCGGCCGCATTTCAGGAAATTCTCCCCACCAATACATTTGGGCTTGGCCAACTTACAAGCGGCACGGCCAGGTCACTGGGTAGGACAAAAACAAAGGCGAAAGCGCCAATGCGGTGCTTCGGCCTGTCACCGAGCCACATCAAATGCAATCAAGAGAGCAGTGGTATAGGTCCCACATGCATCATTGCCTTTCCGGACGCCACGCTCACACGTGGGTGCACAATTGGCCGGAGGAGTGGTTCCGTTGACGTTCAAGTTTAAGGCCCTGACAATTGGCTTGAACGCCCAAAAAGGCAAGGTTCACTGTGACAAAAAGGCAGCTTGTTGCCCTTAGCTGGACCGATCACTTTTCATGCAAACAATCCCTCCCACAGCTTGGCCATTCTCAAAAGGCACCATACACCTCTCCATATGCGCAAATGAAGGCCTTTCAGCCAAGCTTCTCAAATCCATTGCTCACCACCACAGTCTGCAACCTCAACACTATCCCCTTGAACCGTCTTTGTTTTTTCCTCGTTCAAAGGGTCGAACGGTTCACCCGCTCAGCATTTTCCACCCATCCAAACCCAACACCGAAAGGCACAAGACAAGCCACTTCTCTCGCCATGTCTTTTGAACCACCTCCTACGGACTCTCGGAGAGGCAAGAGGTCTTCACTCAAAATGGGAGAGGCGAGAGGCCACGTGTATCTATGCAGTTGACGGGGCAAATGCCGATCACCCTGACGCATGGAATTGGACGGCAGAATTGCCAATCTCTGGCAGAGCTCGTCAGAGTTCAGAGCAATCTCCCAAACAAGCTGATGTTGAGCTAGCTTTGCAATAGGTGCAGTGCCGATCTGCAGCACAGCTAAGTGAGCTGTAGCGTACCGCTGCTGCTTTGTGGTGGGTTGGCCAAGTATTGTGATGGCTGAGTGACCGCCCAGATTGAGCTGCCCAAGTTGTGGTGGCGCTGAGGTAAACAAGGTTTGCGATAGCCATGCGAGTTGGCCGAGCATTGATTGCCATTTGCCGTTATATCTGGCCAATACCTTTTCTCGACTTTAGTGCAAGCAACCTTGGATGAGACAGCTTGATCGTGTGAGTATGGTGGCGGTGCAAAAGGTATGCAATAATAGTTGCTAATGATGAATGTTAAAAGCATACCAAAACCACAATCATTGGAGGGAAGAAGAAAAGAAGGGACAAGGTAGACAGGATCGATGCCGGTGAAAGGAAAAGCACAAAAAAAGAAGGGAGGAGGCGATCCATGGACAGCATGGAGATCAATCAGCAATGCGTGTTAACTTTGTGGCACTTGTGCCGAAGGTCCTTTAAACAGGCAGAAAGGGTGGTGCGATCCTACACTACAGGGCATGTTTGGCTCTAGTGAGGGTGCTTGTCCATAGTCCAACCATGAATCCCCCCAAGCATCAATATTGAAAACGGATCCTGCAAGCTCTATTCCATCATATTCCATGCTCTTTATACACAGTGCGCCCTGGTGCTGTGAGTTCCTGGTTTCTGTATGTTTCTGTGAGATTGGCTTGTGGCTGAGACTGTGCTTATTGACGTGTGGCCTCAGCAACCTGGCGTGGGGGTGGCAAGTAGCAATCACATACCCGTGTTCTAACCATGCTCCTCCTCCTGCTTGCCGTCGTTCCTCTCATCATCACTGTCTGGAGGCTCGATGTCAACCTGGAGAACATGATGCAAAACTCCATTTTTCCCAGGAGCGACTGCACACGATTGCTCATGCATCCCAGGAGCGTTGTAGGGTTGTGCCAACCATCTTCCGAAGTCGGACAGGTACTGGCACAGTCTCGAAGTGTAGCGCCTCTTGGAGCTTTCCTCCACTGCAACCTCTGGAGCCCTCAGAGTTCAGGTCAATCCATTACAAAACCCCACGGCCACTGGCCACTCGCAAACAAACAAGCACCTAGCACTGAGAACTATATACATGGCGTTTGAGCCAAGACACGCCCTTGATAGGACAGTCTTCAGGCGATCAGCTCTAGTTTGTCGGAGACTTTCAGCTTGGCCTGTTTCAGCGTCCATCTGCGCGTCCTTGGAACTGAGGCTTTCAGTGTTTTGTGCCCTGCTCCACACATCTCTTGTGCCAGGCTACTAGCAGGCAAGATCCTGCCTCATCTCACCAGCGGTCATGGCATCAAGCTAGCAGACTGGCTCTAACGGCTTCTGTTCATATCGATGTTTAGCTTGCTCATGCTTGTACCATCATCCGGAGGCAACCAACACTGGCTCTAGAGGGAGGCCTGTATCAAGGAGGGTTACCATACAAGATGGCACCGTTTCTGCCAATGGAAGCTCACATGCCTTTGCCAATTGCCTTCTGCATTCAATACAGCATAGCTGCAGCAGCATCGAAAACTTCATCACTTTGATTTCAGTATGCCACCTGAAATGAAGCTTCCTGGGTTGTGCAAAGTGGCCGGACATGTTGACCGCCTGCAGCGATCTCTTTTCTCTTGCCACCTGCTAGGATCTAGGATCGCTGCAACGATCAGCTACATCCTGGATCTTCTCCTCCAATGTATGTGTACCATTCACTCTTCACCTTCACTGGGCCCAAGTGTTTCCAGACTGCCCTTCCCCAACAAGGTGCAGGGATTCTTTCACACGATCCTGGAGTGCAACTGATGTGTGAGACTAAGAGTGCCGAGCCTTTTTGGTGCTGAAGTCAGTATCGCTTTCACTTCCTGGCGAGGTAGACCGGACCGCTTGACACAGGGCATGGCAAAGATGATGCACTTGGCAAGCAGTTGGCGAATGGAGTCCCAGCCTCTTCCAGCCTCTTCCCCCAGACCTCCATCTACTAGTAACTAGTAAAATCATATAAAATTATACCACGATATACCACAGTATATAATGTGCGTGTGACCTCTCTCAAGGAAGCATATAAGAAACAGCTAAAACTTTGGATGCACGACTCCAGTGCCCCATCACCATGAAAGCAAAAGTCAAAAGAACAGGAAGAACTTCGTACAACGGGAGACGCCGCAAGACACATCCAGCTTTTTGCCTCGAAGTTCTGCGGCCATACGTTTCGCATGGCGCAGCGACACCAGCAAGTCTCAGAGTCTC